GTTTTGCACAAATATTTAATCTTTTCCAGTCTGCCCTCTTCACTGGCTGTCGGTTCCCCGGGTTGAAACCGCTGTGTTTGCTTTAGCTGGTAACAGGATACTGTTTTGAAAAGTGATGCAGAAGTCAGATTACTTATGAATCTGGGCTTTATTTTGCATGAATGCTTTTCAAGGCAACTATAAATTTATTTTTTTTCCTCACCAAGAATTATGTTTCCAGTTGGGGGCGTGGTAGCGAGCAGGCGGGGAAATCCAGAGACCTTTTTAACTTTTCACCCTGTAGCTTGGAAATCTCAGCGGCTGGGATCTAGTAAAACAAACTAGTCACAGTTTCATTAGCAGTTTCTTTCAGGCAAGATCTTCCCCTTTTCTCTAGGTGAAGGAAGTAAGGAAAATGTCATTATTTCACACAAAATGTAGCTCATCCTACGGAAGTGTCTGTAGCACCTGTTAGAAATCACCTGTTAAACATACTGGAGAAAGAAAAATGTAGAAATAGAATAATAGTAACCAGTTTTTATGAAAAGCCTGGTTCGTGCCATGTACTTTTTAGTGCTCATCTTTGTCACAGCTGTGTATGCCGAATATATTATTCCCAGTTTACAGGAGGTGAAACAGCATGGTAACCACGTGTTTTGGATTTTTCAGGACAGTACTGACTTGAAGTATTTTCTGTCAATATTGGACCAAATGGCAGATAATGAGTCTTAACTGTTTGGGAAATGTGGCCCAGTATCGTATTTCTCGTCTCTGATTCAAGTCATCCCAAAGCAGTCAAGGAGTCCATGGAAAGATGGGCCGCATACAAATCACGTATTGAGGGCTTTTGATGAACTTTGGAGGAGAATAAGCAGTGAGAAAAGAAATGCCCTTTGCAAAAACTGGCCGACAGTCCCGGGCCTGAAAATGCTACTGGTTAACCCAAAATGCAGCAAGAGAAGAAAGAGGAAATGAATTATGGGACAGCAGCACAGTAACTCGCTGCTGTTCTTATGGGTCATATTTCAGAAAATATTAATTGGGGGAAATCTTGCAGTATTTTAAATGAATGCTCTATAATTCTGACTTTATAAAAATTAGAAAAAACTGGAAGAAAACCTGAAAGTATTAGTAGCAGTTACTGTTGAGTGGTGAGAATACTTTATTTTTACAGTTTTGAAAAATATTTTCTATATGTTCCACAATGAGTGTGTATTCTTGTTCTAATCGGAGCCCAACCAATAAGGTTACCCAAAGAAGGGAAGGGAAAGGCCGGGGCTCCGTGTGCAGTGTTTCATTTGGGTTGTACATCAGTAAGGCAGACCCGGGGGTAAAAAATGTTGGAGTTGCGGCCTCATGTAAAAAAATATATTCTTTGTCTTTCTTCCCCTTCCCCTCTTCTGTGAGACTGTGTATTAGCTTCTGACCTGTTTCCCCCCCTTTTTGCTGTTACAGGAGGATCGGCTTAAACAGATGTGTTTGCTGTATCTGTGTCTTGGAACAGTTTCTGAGATCTCTCTTTCCCATTCTCCTGCACTGCGGATATGAGAGGGGGGGAAAATGAGGGAAAGAGAGAGTCCTCTATCCAAGTCACAGTGCTGTGGAGCTGCCTTAAGGTCCCGAAGTGAGCCCTGTTGTGGCCCAAATTCTTCTGCTACAGTCAGGGTTCCTCCTGGACCCTAAGCTCTCCTGGGCAGTGGCTCCCTTGCAAGCTTGTGTGAATTTCCACTCCCTGACATCACTGCATGTAAGGAACTGCTAGCAGCTTGATGCTCCGTGGAACGGCTGCCGTGGATGATGGTAATGTCTGTAGTGCTTCCTCAGCCGTGTGTCTGCTTCAGTCTGGAGGAATGCAGAGGAAATTCAGGAACTGAAAACCCCAGAAGACTGACTCATGGGGAGTGGCCTTGTAGTGGCCATTCAGCCTACATTGGAAGAAATGATTTTCATGTTTTAAATTTTTTTATTCTATTTTATTTTTTTGCTGAGGAAGATTCACCCTGAGCTAACATCTGTGCCGGTCTTCCTCTATTTTGTATGTGGGTTGCTGCCTCAGCATGGCCGCCAATGAGTGGTGTAGGTCCAGGCCTGGGAACCTAACCTGAGCTGCCAAAGCAGACGGCGTAGAATTTAACCACTAGGCCATGGGGCTGGCCCCATGTTTTAAATTTTTTTAATTAAAAATGTAAATTTTTCTTGTTGGGAAACTAATACATGTTTATTGTTTCAAGTTTTGGAAATCTCGAGCATTTTCTATCCATTTTGGGAGGACAGAGGAAATCGTTCTAGGTCTCCTAATGAAGTCTTTACTTTTTAATTCACCTTGAAGACATTAAATTTTGGTTGAGAGCACTTCCTACTCTTTACTTGTAAATTTTTCAGGGGTCAGCTTGAGTGTGTGCGATATTGGGGGTACTCGAGGAAGTGACGCAATGAACACAGATGAGGGGCTCGGGCACTCCCTCTCCCTAAAGGAACTAAGACGCTGTTGTTCCGCTGAGTTCTGAATATTCCTGTAGGGTGGCAATTCTTCCAGACTCCTCGCTGTGGCACTGTGGGCTTTGGGGAGATAGTCACTCTTTCCTTGTCTCAGTGTCTCCGTGTAAAATGAAGATTGTTACACCTTGTCCCAAAGTTGTTGTGAGGAGAATTTGAAATCATAGATGTGAACCTGTTTTGAAAAGAAAAATGTTCTAAATACAAGGTCTTACTGGTGTTCCCTCTATGCTTCTTTATGTGCCCAGTGGTACCACAAATCAACCTCGAACGTTTTCAAATGTCAGCTATTATGTGCTTAGCACTACAAAAGTGATTGTGGAAGATAAGGAAGTGAAGGACATGGCCCAGGTCTCAAGGAGCTTACAGACCAGGCGAGATCACCAATCCCTGATGAGCTCATTGTATGATACACACGCAGCCATAGGAAAGACCATAGAGGAAAGACTGCTGGAAGGTTGGAGACACAGAGAGGCCTCAGGTACGCTGGGCGGGGCTTCAATAGACTATAGGGAAGTGGCACAATCTTCCAGATTTGGAGAAAACTAGGCAAAGACACCCAAGGGGAAATAGTATGCAGGTTCTGGAGGCATCAAGAAAAAATGAGGGACCAGCCAGAAAGTGTTGAAGAATGACAGGGAACCAGCTGGGATGCAAAGGGACAGATGCTGGGGGATAGGGTCCCAAGAATCAGGCAAAGCTAAGTCCCCAAAGAAAGAATGTACCCACACAAGCACACCCCACACCCTAATACCCACTCTCTGCTCACTGCATCTGGTAAGCTGATGAGAAGTGGTCGTGAGGAGAAACTGAAAATCTATTTCCAAATGTCTTGGCAACTGTGAAGGGGAATATAAGTCTTGGCTGTTATTTTAATATACTTTTGTTAAATGAAGATAACTCAGGAATAATGGGAGTAATATGTTCCTCTTGAATTTCAGAGGGCATTAGTTGTGGAACATTATCCAGGAAAATGCATCTTTTAAAAATCTTAAGTTAGTGTTTATGGAAATACTAAATAAATAAAACATTTGGGGAGAGAAAAAGTAGGATTGCATGCTTAGAAATTTTATGAGTTTTGCAAAAAAGATCAATCAAATTGTAGGACCAGCCAACTTGCCCTCACCTTGAATTTCAAAGCACTCCTTTATGAAGTTGGTTTTTTGATTTTTTTTTAAAAAATCTTTCACCTAGTCTTTGAACAGCTGGCTCTGGGTCCCATGCCAACCTAGATCATTAACACGGTACCACTGGTTTTAATGAGGCAGGAGGTTTGGCTGAGAATAGGGACTTCAGGGCAGGTAGATAACAGGACAATAACAGTGAAAAATGCGTATTTATAGACTTCTACAAGCACAGATTATTCATTTAGTGCAGCTTAATGGATTTGACATTTTTCAGATTTTCTTCAACCATCTTATAGAACAATTTTTCAATTCTTACACGAGTTTCAAAAGCTTTTTTCCTATGATTTGTAATGCCTGTTAAATGGTCACAGGATTATGTTTGTTAAGACTTATGTGAAATGTTTATATTCTTTTGGCAAGTAGCAGTTCAGATTTTTTAAAGCCTGTGCCTGCAAGTGACGCCAGTGGATGTGAAATGAGCCAACAGAAAAACTCAGGCAGTTGGTAACTAGGCAGTGTTTACAGGTCATTTACCTGCTATCACAAAACCCATCAGTCTGATCAGTGGGGACTTTTTTTCTAAGTGGGAAACTTATTTGTAGGCATGACCATTTCTCCAACAAACCTTAATTTGTGCATTCTTGAGATCAGATTGCATTCAACCTGAGCCCACTGCTTTTACCTAAAGTTACAAGGCAGCCCCCACCGCCTCTGCCCCAGCAGGACAGAGAACGGACAAGAGAAAATTCAGCAAGAGCAGAGCCACCCTGCTGTGTGGCCAGCAGAGGAGCCATCCCTGCAATGGAGCCCTGGGCACCCTGGGAATACCTCTTTGGGATCTGAGCTCCTCAGCCCACTGTTCCATGTAATGAAATGTCCTTTAGTTAGGTCAATTTCCTGACCCAACTAATAAAATCTGCAGGTCTAAGTCTGGAAATAATTTTGTAATGAGGATACAAGTGTGGTTTTTGAATTTGATAGATTTAATTTAATGGATGTTGGAATAACATAGAGAATTCTCTGAGCATTTGAGATAAAAGCTGTAAACGTCATCTATTTGTTCCCATTAGAGTGTCCGTCAGGATTGCCCAGAGGAAGCAGGAACACCCTCTCCGGCAGTGTTGAGATGAGGAAGGACTGTGTGTCTGCTGACTAGGAGAAGAGTGACCTAATGCTCCAGGACACAGGTCAGCAAGCTATGGTCCTTCATCTAGATCTTTCCTTTCTTGAGAGACTTAGTTTTAAATGAGCAGCCATTTCAGGGCCACAGGAGCCAGGACTCCTTACAATGAAGGAGGGAAGTTTGTTCCTTCCGGGGCTAGAACATTTTGTAGGTGACTTTTCGAGTCTTAACATTGTGCTATTATAACATCATTGAAACTGAGTCATGGTGAAGTCAAAACATTTACATGGAAACATTTATTTCCTTAAATATATAGCTTAGTTTTCCCTCTCCAACTTTGAGAAGGAATATTAGGAGTAGGGAGACCAGACAACACGACCATTTGACATTTGTTGCAAATCCTAGGGAGTCCTTACAAAGCATCCTTGGTCCAGTTCCAGTTCATGAAACTTCACAGCCCTTTTTCCACTCAGACAGGTCTTTGCCCTCACAGTGTTTCTTCCAGCCTTGCCTAAGGAGGAGAGGGAAGCAGGAACAACAGAAAGAAGCATGACAGTTCAAATATTCTTAGGTTCAAAAACCACAGACAATTAACCAAAATAACCAGCGGTGCCCAGGGTTTAGTTTCATTTGCTTCTGAGGTCCAAGGACTCTATCTTTTTGCCTTGTTAAGACTTTCCTCTCCCTGGTTTTCTCCTAGTCTTTGTTAGCCTCAGCAACAAGGAAACAAGTTTTATAAGGATTTATAAAACAAGTTTTATAAATGAAACAAGTTTCATTTAGTTAAACACCCACATCTCTGAAAATTCGGGTTCTTCAAGTGGGTGACCCGATTAGCAATGTTCACAAGAAACACAGCTGCAGAGACGATGGTGCGCATCAGCTAATCAAAGGCCCCTCACTCAATCCTAGGGAAGTTTCCTGCCATGTTATCCTGTAACTGACATGATCATTTTTCTCTCACTGCTGCTTTTTCTCTCCCCACGAAATGTTGCCGTAGCCCTCCAAAATCTTATCCAAACTGAGATCAAACTCAAGCTTTTTTTTTTTTTTTCTGGTGTATTGACTTCATTGATGCCTTCTAATTCACATTAGAAAGGATCTCTTTCTCCACTGTTTGGAACACCTTCACATGAAAAGCAATCACAAATGACCATGACTCTATACCATCTCTCCTGTCATAAGAATCCCTCCCACTGTGTTCACTGCACACCCACACACTAATGGGGAAGGGAATAGACAAGATCACGTTACAATCTTTGGACCACTCTGCAGAGGAGAGTTTGTCAATGTCTGCTGCAGCCGTGAGGAATGGACACACTGTAGGTTTTGACCGTATCAACCTACATCTCCCAAGGAAAGACTCTTACCAATAGTTCATCCCTTCTGTCTCTTTAACAATTTTCTTGGCACAGATAATTGCATCTGTGAGGTCGTCAGTGAGCAAGGCTGTAAGAGAGAAGAGTATAGAGTTAGCTGAGAGTTTGTTTTTTGAGGAGGGCTCCAAATCAGGTTTTCTTCTCTTTTCCTGCTGTTTTTGGAAGATGAGGGTTGGAAGAACTATGAGCCATATTCTCACTTTTGTTAAGCTTCTTCACAAATCAAAGAATGTTTTTTTGTTTCTAGATCATCCACATTTTAGATTCCTTGAAGTTTTAGAGGAATAGACCAGTCCTGGAGGGTTTTTGGAAATGTGTTTAGAGAAGACATCATAGAAGAATGTTTTTTATGTCCTGAAGAAACACACAAGTAAGACAGAACAGTACAATGTTTTCTCTGCTTGGGTTAATTTGACATGTAAGATCTCTTTATAGGTAGTTATTAAACTTTTGTCTATTGTAATTTTCCAGTTTGTGCATTAAAAAATTTTTTTATCCAAGGTGTTTTTCATATGCAGAAATTTTTAATTTTTATGTCAAATACATCAATTTTTACCTCTGTTACTTTTTTTATGACTTTCAGACATAAATCTTTAGATTGAAAATGTATTAATTGATATCAGCATTCTTTCCTGCTTGCCCAAAGTGGCCTCAAAATCCTTCTCAACACAAACATGGCAGAAAAAGGCAGATAAATAAGAAAGTCCGACATCACTTCTGTTGCAGGTTGGGTTCTCCAGAAGCAGATGCTGAGCTGGGTTTGGGGTGCAAGGTGTTTAGTAGGGATCCACACCTGTGAAAGAAATGGAGCGGGAGCAAGATTGGGCAGATGGAGATGTCCAGCTGTGATGCAGGCCCATCAGAGCCTCAGCCAACCTGGCCAGGAGCTCAGGAGCGAATATTGCCCAACAGAGTTACCCAAGTTGGACCCACGTGGCCAGGTCTGTACACCTCTGCCTACTCAGTCCCCAGGTGTGGCTGCCGCAGAAGAGCAGAACCATAAGTGAGGCAGCTCTCTGCAGCTCAGGCAGAGTCTGAAGGAGGTGCCAGATAGACTGTCTGCAAACCACACAAATACAGCTGGGGCCAAACATCTTCCCTTCAGGGGGAATCTGGGCAGCCCATCTCCATGCCTACCACAACCACCAGTCAAAGACGTAAAAACCCACACCTCTCAAGGTCATTTCTATTTATCAGTTAGGCAAAGATTTATTAAGAATTGGTAATGCTCAATGTTGCCAAGGATGCAATGAGATAGGCACTCTTGAGTCCGTGCTGGTGGGAGTGCAATGGGGTCAACTTTTCAGGAAAGCACTTTAGCAGCATGTGTCAAGACCCTTAAAGTGGTTCTTATCCTTTCACCTAGTAATTCCCCTTTCTGGATCTATTCTAAGGAAATAATCATGAATCTAGACAAAGAGTTATTTACAAAGTGGTTTACTGTAGCTTTATTCACAAGAGGAAATTTATTTCCAAATGGAAAAAATCTAATTGCTTCATAATTACAGATGTTCACATTAATAATAATAATACCTCAATATAATGAAATAAGGAACCATTTAAATCATGTTTTCACATGACTTAGTAATATTGGAGAATGCTACCAAAATAAAGTTCCCAATATTGTAAAAATATGTCTAGAGCTGCACTGTCCAGTATGGTAGCCATTAGCTGCATGTGACCATTTAAATCTAAACTAATTAACACAGTTGGCACTTCAGTTCCTTAGCTTGCTCTCACTACATTTCAGATACTTTGTAGCATCTTTATTGTGGCTAGAGGCTCTCGTATTGGATAGCGCAGATGAGAACATTCCATCATCACAGAAAGTTCTATTGAACTACATTGGTTTAGAGGGAAAAAAAGATAGTCATAAATTCACCAGTATTTTCAGAAGTATTAGCTCTTAACTGTGGGATCACCAAGGCTTTTAAATCTTCACTGTATATTTCCTAAATCTTTTACAACAGAAATGCATTATTTTTATTAACAGAAAAAAAATAATCAAAAAGAATAATGTTCACCTAAAATGTTGCTTTTTATTGGATCATTATAATACCAAATTATTTTGTAAACTCGGTTGAAAGTGGAATTTTTCCTTGAGTGTGCTGATTGAGTTGCTAGTTAGTTGCTTTCTCAGATAGGCTTAACTAGAAGATAAAGGTAGTGACAGATTTCTTTCAAGCACATACATTCTAAATGTGTTTTTTTTTTTTAATGTAATACAAAATTCTATTAACAGGGAGAAAATTAACAAAAGATATGATCTATAAATGACAGCACATTGAGGCAATACATGCAAATGCACTAGTATTTGGTTTATAGTGAAAAATAAAGCTTTGTTAGCTTCTAGAAGTCTTTTGCCTTGTTTCTAGAGAGTTCAGTATTTAGAACAATGATAGCTGTTACTAATAGCTAACTTTTATAGGAAATTTAGTCTATGTCAGGCACACGTTAAGTCTCTTCAAGCGTTATCTCCCTTAGTCCTCAGAACAACCGTATGGGTGGGTACAATTATTATCCCTATAAACTGAGGTCACACACCCAGTCAGTGAGTCTGCATTCAAACCTAGGGCTTAAATTCTGTTACCCTTGGCTGCTTCCTTCCAACAGAGCCACTTAAGCAAAGATTCCAGTTTATGGAACACTATATGCTAATGAAGTTGGTAATAAAAGTATAAATACTTTATTAATTTTTCAAGTAATTATTTGTTTATTAGGAGATTACCCAAACTTAAGTGCTTGGTATCTGATACATGTTCAAATTACTTGGAAACACTTTATTTTGTGTACATAAATGCTTGATAAGTGCTGAGATACTGTGGTTTGTGTTTGAAAGTGGTCAGGCCCTGTTTCCTAGACGTGGGTTAGTGGGGTCTCCAGGGGTGGAAGGACACAGATTATGCATAGTGGGGAGGAAGCAGAGAGTATCCTGTTATTCCCGGATTGGAGCACACCCTAGGCGTGTACACGAAGAGCAAGGCTCGTATTTGAGGTGAGGCTGTTTGCTTGGCTGGAGATGCTGTATAAAGATTGGTGGGAGAATTAGGTGCTACAGGCCCAGATTGTGGAGACTGTGTAAGGTAATTGTCAGTCTCCCACTTTGTTACAACATTCTGTTGCAAAACTGAGGTGTTTTGAAAGTGCTAGTTGGACATGACTTTGAATTTGCTTAGGAAAATATGTTAAGGCAGGAGGGGGCTGGGAAATAAGAACCTGATAGGCGCTGAGATGTGAAAACACAATGAAATCGCCACAGAGGGGCAGCAGAGGGGCAGAAATGAGTTAAGAGAGTAAGTATTTATAAGGATCCATGCCAAGAATTGCTTCTGCTCAATTTACTTTAAATATGCAATTGCGTCCAGTCAAACATGAATAAGGAAAGGGTTATGTTGAATAGCAAAGCATTATTCAATTGAATAGTTTATTCTCCCACATCCAACAACAGAAAACAGCAACAATCTATACAGAAAGAACTACTTTTTTTCAGTTAGTTAGTTCTACTTCAAAATTTCTGTCTCCCCTCAGCATCCTCCTGCCTCCTGACTAAAACACCACTACCGTGCTCACAATTTACATCTCTTTCCCCTCTCTGAAGTGACAAAGGATAACTCAGATACCAACCTGGTATGAGAAATTGAGATTAATGTAAGTGGACTAGACTATATACCAGAGGCAATAATCTGCTTATTCTTAAAAGTCTTTTATTTTGACAAGGACTATGCTGTTGGAGGAAAATAAACATTGCTGTTATATTATTATATGTATGTGTGTGTGTATGTTTATACATAGATATGTCTATATTTATATATTTATGTATATAACACATAGTTTAGGGAATGTAGGCAGCAATTTTAGGAATACGATTTGGTTCGGGAGTGAGGAGACGGCATAGCTCTGGAAAGTGGGCATGACGTGCATATATACTGTACATATGTGAAATGTCACATACCTTGTAAACTCACCCTAATGCTAACTTGTTTCCTGGTTCCCATGATAAATGTCTCTACTTCTGTAATACATGGGACAGAATGACGTTGTCCATAATTAAAGCCTCTCTGGCCGGAGGCTGAGACAGGCCAGTCATTGAGGGGTGATTAGGATATAAAAACAACATCCTGTTTTCTATTTTAAAGCTATCCTTAAAACTCCCATGTTCTTTATGATGAGAAAACAGATATGAGTGTTCCTTCACCTTTAACCACGAACCATCCCACATTTTAATTTCCTAGAATCCAAGATTGTCTTGCAGATATACATTTGTCCCAGACTTCCTTAATAGGAGCTAAATTGAACAATATTAAATTAGTAAACTGCAAGTAAAGTCAAGCATGGCCATGACGGAATAACGAATTTTCTCTCCCACTGTAAACAACTAGACAACTAGACAAAATACATGAGAACATCATTTTCAGACGTTAGGCAATAAGCAATATAAGATCATGATCCTTGAGAGAGAGAAACCAAATGAGGAGAACCTTGTGACTGTCATATGACATTCTGCCCAGGGGCACTTTCCAGACCAGGAAGGTAAAACCCAGGCAGGAGATGGCAATCCAAGTGGAAGAGACAGAAATCGGAGGCCAGGGTAGCTGGAATTTGTAGAGAAGGGTCCCTGAGAGGTAGGCACCACACAGAAGGAGAGGACCAGAAATCTGCATAGGGATTCCACTGAGTCTTTGGCTGAAGGCTAAACTGGACATGCAAAGGGTAAAACTCCACAAGGCTAGTCAGAGAACAATTACCAAGGACCTGAATAGTTACAGAGCTCACACAGGGCTGGGAGGCACCTGATTTCTGACTAGCCAGAGAAGAGAGACTTTGCTGAAACCTGGGATATTCAAAAGAGACACTTCAAGAGCCATGCCTTGGTAGTAAGACTAAACTAGCTCTACCATAAAGAATACTCTAGAACTTTCCTCATCAGAATTAACTGCTTGTCAGGATGAAATTCAACAATCCTTAAAGGAAGTCAACATAATCCAGATACTCAACAACATAACATACCCTACCTGTAGTATCCAATAAAAAGTTATTACATGTACTAAGAGGCATGAAAATGTGACCCAT